TGTATATATATTTGTATACCTTTGTGAATGAAGGGGGCGGAAATCATTTTTCCCAAATTACACGGATTACGTAATTGACGAAACATTGTTCTCTGAGAGAATTTAGGAAATTCCTTGTGAACCTTTATCAATGGTTGGGAAAAGCATATGTATTTAGTCTCTTTATCTAACAGCCATTAAAAGATTCCGTTAAGTGATGGGTATTTTCATTCTTTTATCATTTTCATTCTTTTGTGATTTTGGTACCTGTGGCTTTTGATTGGATAAAAAGACAAACAAATCGATAAAATGACGAAAATGCACCTCATTTAACGGGATCTTTTAACGAACATCAGAAAGATGGACCAAATTCGTACGTTTTTACAAAGCACGATGGTTTTCTTATGATTTTAAAATTCCAGGCATGAAAGATGTTATTTTTACAAACCATAGGGACCAAAATTGCATTTTTACTCTAATTGTTATTTTGTAGTCATAAAAAAGATGTAGAGTTTTTGGTTGTTTGTCGGTTATGAAATAACATTGTACTTTAATGTTTCCCTATTACAGAAATGTCCTTTTAAATTATTTTTTATTAAGTCGTTTGTATTTTGAAAAATTTACTCATTATAACACCAGGTAACTTGTTACCTACCTTCCTACCCTCCTTCCGGTTTCATTCCAAAACAATTATTTACGTCACTTATCACATCTAACCCTTGTCCCCCCGTTGTCTCCCTTACCGTCTTCACTCAAAATAGGTTTGGACATTTCTAACGATGCGGGTTTTACTAAATCTTGAATTGTATCAGATATTATTCAGTACATTTGCTTATAAGACTCTTCCTTTTGATTTTAGCATAGTTTCTAAAACGTCTCCTTCAAATTTTCTTACACGATGAAAGAGCAATTGCAGCTACGGGAAACAATTTTATATTAAGACAAACTAACCAATTCACGTACCAATCGTATCAATAAAACGGTACCAATTTAATTGTATGATATAGCTGTATTAATTATATAAACTTGGTTGGGACATGGTATTCGAAGGCGTGTACCACAATTATTTGTCTAATTCTAACAACTTTATTAACTCGTACACAGCTCCACGGTCCAGCATCGCTTCCTAGTGGTTGCCTGTATTAGACTATTAGTGCATGCTTGTATTATATAGAAGTTATTTCAATGCTTATATAGATAGAGATAAGTGGTACAACACATATCAACGTGTTAATTGAATGCTTGATGGTTTTAGGGCATCTAGATGTATAGTTAGTTGGTGCGATGCCAATTATAACTGATCGGTGCATGGTATCATGTTTACTCCAAATTGCAGCTTTGGACTGTAGTGGCGTAGTGTTGAGATAATTGTGAATAATTTTGTAAACATGTTTAAATTTTGAAATTACAATTTTGGGTAGACATGTTTGATTCAATATACAATGTATTAAGGGGATGTTTGGCAATTGCTGAATGGTTTGGTGCAGAATGATTAAGTGGTCAGAATAATTAAGAGGTTCTCATGATATAGTGTAAAATGAAATATAATTGTTTGCTAATTGTGTACAATGAAATTAAGGCTCTTAATGGTTAAGGAAGATTCGTGATACAAAATCATTCAGAGGGTTTTAGAACCATTAAGATGCAGATTTTTTTTTGCCAAACAAGATTCACCTCTTAACGATTCAGATGTTGCTTGTTAATGAAACTATTAAGAGGTAAACAAACAACCCCTTAATAATAATAAAAAATTAAACTAAAAGTACGACACTCTAATAGGAACTAGTTGTTATATGTTAAAATAATTTTGAAAGTACAATGTTGTAATAATAAATATCACTTCAGTAATATGTTATGTATGGTTATCCTACGTGGACAAAGAGGTGGCATAGAAACCTGGTAACTTATGTCATGTCATTTAAATTTAAATCAAAAGATTACTCATGTTGTAATGCATAAAATTTTCAAAGTACAATAACTCAGTAAAAAATAATTTAAAAGTAGATTACTTTAATAAGAAAAAATGAAAATACAATACTATGATAAGAAATTTTATGATAGTAGGTTGTTATTTCACACATTTTGTTCTTGTTTATAATACAAAAATGATTATAGTATGAACAATATTTATTTTTTATATTTTGTAAATCGGTTTTAAATTTGACAACATACACATATTGATACAAATATCTATACTATATTATAAAGCATTTGACAAAAATTTTAAAAACCACTTTTTATGCGTAAAGTACTGTATAATAATTCATATTACTTAAAACTCAAGATTGCAAGTAGATTGTGCATAAGTACAACTTATTAAAGCTCCATATATGAATTCGTGTAACTAACTGCAGACAAATATAATCAAATATAAGATAAACATCTCATTTTAAATATAAAAAATCTAAAATATAATTAGGATGATCATTGAGTTCTAACGGAATACTTAATTATTATCTTTATAAAATTTATTTATTAAACCAAAAATAAATTATTTCATTATTAAACTTAAATTAAATTATAATAAAAAAATAAAGAAATTACATAAAAAATAAAACTTTTAAATAGTTGATTTGATATTAACATTGAAACACTGATATTTTTTTTTTCAAATTTATATTTTATTCAATTATAAAATCATTATTGCTTTCTTAAAAACACATAAAATCGTATTATAATACCGACATAGACAAATAATAAAATAGAACATTAAAATCGAGACGTATTTCGTTGCATTGCGCGATTACTCTTCTAGTTAAATTAAAATAATAAAATGTTGTTTTTATATAATACGTTTAATTAAAAATTATATTATATTAAGATAATTTAGATCCCAAAAAAAAATGAGAAAAGTCTATGTAGTTTAGTAGTTGGCGTTATAAATTTTTTAAAAGCCATACATAAACTATAACAACTGATAACCTTGAAATTAATATGTTTGTAAACAAAATGCTTATCTATGCTATCTTATAAATCAGATTTGAAATTTTTTTAAAAACAACCTTAAAGACATAAGGTACTACCTTTTAATGCATAAAGTCTGAAATTCTTAATTACGAAATATAAAGCTTAGTGTACAAGTTTTCAATACTAGACTCAAAATTCAGCTTCCCAATAACACTCCTGTCAAGATGCACGCATCTCATCGCTCCTCCTCCAAAGTGACCGATTCGTTTCCCCTAGATGATGGCTAGGTTTCTATTCAATGCTTTATCACCCGTATCCTGATTAGTGTTATCGTTCCTCTCTCAGTTATCTCTCATCTCCGGGTTAGGGTTATCATTTATCTTCGCTCCATCGATTCCTCAGCCTGTGTACCGATTCACTCTCCTTCAAATCCAACTAATTTATTTTTCCAGTGCTGGTTTTTTTCGAGGGTGTTTGTTTGTTTGTCGTATCTGTGTGTTAATTTCCATTTTCATTTCTCTGTGTACTGATTCAAACTTTGTGTTTTTTTATATCAGTTGTATGGAAGATGTTTGAGGAAGTCATCTTTCACACGTATTTGTTAGTCATTCTCACATATATTTGTTCATGTAAACGAAAGTGTATTGCACATGTCCCTTCTTATTGGGTTGTACAGTCGTAACTCGTAGGTATCTTGTGTTAAATTGGTCTGCATTTTCAGTTTTGGACTTGGTTATGTTGGTGAATTAAAGTACAAAGTTTCATGGGTTTCTTGTTAATTGTTATTATGTGTTATTTACTCTTTTCCTCTGTTGAGATCTTAGTTCGGGATTGCAAATTTTGAAATAATTTTTAGAATCTGGGGTTGATGTTTCGATTTTTGGTGTATAGAAAATGCAATATGATATTGGTAAGTCATCTGTAGCCCGTAGGTGTGGGGTTTCATGGGATTCAAATGAAGAACATGTACGTGAGTGTATGTTAGCAAGTACGATGAGGTTTCAGAATATGTGATTGTGAAAGGCTGAGCCACTGGTTCCGATCATGGTAACTATTGATCGATTATTTATGGTTGTTGGTTAGAAATTAGGGGCTGTTTACCAAACGCTTACCCGGGTAAGCGCTTACTAAGTCAAATTACCTCACCAGATGAATATGGTACGGACCAAGAATCTTACCCGGTAAGAGCGAGACATAGAGCAAAAGTATTACCCGGTAAGTGAGAGCGATGACTCTTACCACGGTAAGCGTTTACTGTGTAAATTGTTACATGCGATGTCGTTTTAGTGGATTAAAATCTTACCCTGTAAGTAAATAGTAGTGTTAAATTCTACCGGTAAGCACTTACCAGGTAAATATTTTGATTTATGTTATGATAAAAATCTTGTCATATGAATTATGAATTTTAGATTCAAGATTATATTTTAACCCCGTTAAATTTTCCAAAAAAAAAAAAAAAAAAGAACTTGTGAATTTGCGTTTTTTATTTATTTATAAAAAGGTTTAGAGGCCGTTTATTCAGTTTTTACCTGGTAAGGTTCAATACTTTCACTTAATTTACCGAATACAATTTTTATCTATTAAAATGACATCATATGCAATATTTTTATCCGGTAATCGCTTATCAGGTAAAAGTCGTTATTATCACTTACTGGATAAGACCTTCGGTTCTTGTCATCGCTCTTTACTAGGTATAATTCTAAATATTTGTCATGTTTATTTGATAGGCGAAAGATCGTATGAGAAGGGAATTGATAGTGAGAAGTATAAGAAGATATTTGAACCATTGTTCACTTTTAATCTTATGTCGACCCATTAATTGCCCTTTATAAGGGAATTGATCTGATACATCTTTGTGCATCTCATTAATATTGACATTCAATTAGAATTGATCTAAGGATGAAAATCCTTTCTTACGCTTTTTATTATAATTTTCTTTTTTACTGGAACCCAACCTGATAAAGTAAAGCGACGAGATTGTCAACAATTAACATCGGGTAAGCGTTTTGTATCAAATAATGAAATAACTATTTTATATCGATTTTGACAATAAGATGAGCCTCTGACCGATTAAGATGTAAATTATGTTTGGCATAAAAACCCTGTTCTAAAACCCTCAGAGAGCGATTTTGCATCTAGGGTCTTCTCAAACCATTTCAGAGCCTCAGCATACTCACGCCTCTCTCCTTCACTATCGATCTGCTCAATCGAATCTGCCACGTTCTTGAGGTATATCTCTCACGAATCGAATCTGCTCATCTCTCACAATCGATTTGTTTCTTTGTTCGATTCATAAACATCTGTTCAATTTGCATCGGTTCATAAACCATCGATTTGCACCGATTTTTCAGACCGCTAGGGGTCTTGCTACTAATCTGCTTGAAACTGTTTTCATTTTGTATAGATCTTTACGGAGGCATCATATGTGGGTATGGAAATTTTATTCAAAAAGCTACATAAATCATACCAAAAAAAATTAGTTTCAAAATTTGGAAGTTTGACCTTAAAAATTCGAAGTGCATCTCTTTTGATAGAGAGGTGTTTGCAAGTACTTAGCATTTTTTTTGTGATCGATCGTACAGAGAGCAAGATAAGCACAATAATTAAAGCAAAAGAAACCTAAGGTTATTGACCATGAAAACAAAAGGGTTTGGTCACTGTGCTACAATGTGAACTGGGTAAGTGAAAATCATAGAGGATTTGGTCACTATGCATATTCCAGGTTTTCATGATTGTATGAATAATTGGAAATCATAGAAGGTTTGGTCACTGTGTTACAATGTCAATTGGGTTTAAAGCTATGTTGTTAAAATGGGATATATCGCCGATATATATCGGATATCGGACTCTAGAAAAATATCGGTCAAAATATCGGTTCCGATAATATCGCCGATATTTACCAATATTTTGATGGAAAAATCGGTCCGATATACCGATTTTCTATAAGACAAATGTTTGGGCTTTTTTTTATTACATGCAGGGCTTAATTTTTTTGGGCCTCTTTTATTTGGTCAACCAGTCAACACATATATGAAGTCTCACGCTGCTACTCTTCTCTTCTTAGTTCTTTCACAGTTCACGCTTATTGTTTGCAATTAGCTCATTTTTGAACACTTTTCCTATTTTGTTTTGTGAGACTTGTTTATGTGATGTTTTAGTTTTAAAACTATATTTCTAAACTCTAATTAATGCATATGATATGTTTATGGATGCATACATATAATACATACATATAATACATACATATAAATACATATAATACATACATATAATACATACATATAATATATATATATATATATATATATATATATATAAAATTCTAAGAAATATTATATTAACCGCTATTTTGGACTGATATATCTCCGATATATCATCGATATAACCGAAATATCGAATATCGGTCTTGACCGATATTTTGTATTTTGATCGCAGGAACAACATAGGTTTAAAGATTGTGAAGTACTTGATTTTGCATATATGGCAATCAAAGATATAGTTATCTTTTGAACTGCTCTTATACGTTTTTGCTTCTAGTTTGTTTCTGTTTTTGTTTCTGGGTTATTTCTCCACAATTGCTATATATGTTGATTTTTTCATTTATTTGCCATGCTTTGTTTCTGATTTAATTTGTTTGGACTAGGTATGGAATTAGTTGTTGAATCTTCACATCAAAAGAAACGCAGGATTACATGGAAAAAATGTGTGTCCATACATTTCAGGCAGGAAGTCTCGTTGTATAAAGGATAAATACTGCAAAGATTATCAACATTATCATGACTGCTACAAATCAACCAATAGTGCTAGTTCAACAAAACAAAGTTACAGTTCACTCGTTCAAAATTGAAAATCTAACCTACAAACTGGTTGCTCTTCTGATGTAGCACTGTTGGTTGATCTGTAGCAGTCGTGATAATGTTTGCAGTATTCATCCTTTATATAACACGACTTCAGCCTGAGATATTTGTCTCATGTTATCATGTATAACGAATCACTAATTCTGTATGGTGGTCAAGGAATTAATGTTGATTATGTCTGTTTGATGCGACATAAGGCGTTGGAGGACAGAAGGATGAATGCTTACAAGGCTTACAAAACATGTGTCCCAATAGCATGGAGTCCCAACCTATACATCACCCTGGTGAGGGGAATTCCAGGAACCAGGAAACTTCATAGGCGCACCTTAGAAGCATTGCGTCTAGGGAAGTGCAATCGAACTGTCATGCGATGGAATACTCCTACTGTCAGAGGAATGCTTCAGCAGGTTGTCAAAGTGTACATTTACAATGGGATAGTTTATCTGGTTTCAGTAGATTAATCTATCTGATGTGTTATCCAGGTTAAAAGATTGGTTGTAATCGAGACTGAAGAAATGTTCAAGGCACGTAAAGAAAAGGAAGCAAATCACCGTGCATGTCGTCCACCTTTGGTTGTGAGCCATCTACCTGCTCCTGCAAGTGATTCGTCTCAACAGGCTGTCTAATATTTTTTGTGTAAGTGACTTTGCCCCTGGATATTAATATGTGCTGTACATACATATGGATGATCTGCCTTCATCAGTTACACAAACCTTTTGTGATTAGCCATTTTAATGCAACTGTAGAAGTATTGATTTGCTATACGCGTAGCAATCCGAAAAATGGCTGAGTTGAATCAAACTGTATCCCAACATATTGATCTTTATAATCATATGAAACAAGTGGAACCCTCAGCTTCAACACTATTTATGTATTTAATTTTATCTCATTTAGTTGTATGTTTTAGCATATACTTGTTAATCTCAGGATAGCCAAATATGAAGCAATAGTTTTTTAACTTGACAACCTAGAAAGCGAAGCTTTATCTTGCTAGTATTAATAACAAATTAACGATTACAAGCTGCACATATGATTTTTTACTCTGTGTTCATTGTTAGAAGACACCGATGAATATTTAACTTAAAAGTTCTATTGTAAAAGCTATCCAATGTTAGTTGGTTACTATGATTTTACTATAAAATGGGTTCAAAGTTTAGCCTACTATCATCGGTACTATGTTACTGTCAAATGGGCCTCATGAATCATAGTTTAGTGTTTAAAGGCACGTATAAAATTTACATGAGAACATGTTGGGAGTTAATTGGTTTAAATACCATAGGTCAAAGATTTGTCGTATAGACATGTGATGCAGTCAGAAAAGTGTTCTGTTGTGTCTTTGTATGGTGAGAATTTACAGGTTTCACATTGTTCTTTTGCTTGGCATTATCCTTTTCTGTTTTACTATTTCTGCGTATTCTTATTTTGGTTTTTCCCTTCTGATCTATCAATTTAGGATTTCAGACGTGCATTTAAAGCTGATGTGGGAAGGGCAGTCCAGGTTTCTCTTCTGATAAAGCACTAATATTGTGTAGTTGATAAGGTTTGCTGATCATTCAATTTAGTTGATGCATGCATTATATGGAGGAAAACTATTTGTTTCTTGAAGATACATAGATTTGTAATTTTCTAGTCATAAACTTGTTAGCAGGGCCTGAGTTCTTATTTCATTGTTCACTTGTGTGGGTCCAGAAGTGAAATGCTTCGGTTCTGTTGGAATGAAATGCTAAACTAAAAGAATACGAGTCAGTGTCAATGTGTCATGTTAATTAGCACTTCTGCCAGTGTTAAGGATATCATCACATTTACATTTTTTGGCCATGAAATGCTAATTCTTCAAACAATAATAGTTGGTTCTGTTGGCTGGACATTAGCGATGCAGATTAAGTGAATACATAATCTGTTGCAGTACCTATACTGACATCTACATCCAAAAAATTTCAACAAAGTTATATCCATTTGTAGTGGATATGTGAGTAGACAAAATTAACATAAATTCATCGTTAAATTTGAAAACAAACCAAGTAGATCAATTATAAAAATTAAGACATAAAAACTAATTAAAATTATGAACCATATAATCCTTTTTAAATAAATTGTGGGATTGTGGAAGGTGTTCTGCTGGGCATCTAAATTGTGTGAAGCACTCTGAACCAAACCATGCAGCCCAGAGGCCTAATAGAAAATGGAGCAGCCTAGTATCATACATATATACAATTATACATATATTTGATAAAGTTGGTGATAAGTTGATGGTGCAAAATGATAAGTGGGTGATGAATTGATTTTATAATATATATCCAAAAAACCCTAAAGTACGTACACACACATATACATAGTGGTGGTTAAAATGAGAACACCACCATTTTATGGAAATGCGAGAACACCCATATCACATGCGATAATACACGTGAGGGGTCTGGTGGTGTGTGGGCGACTTGGCCTGCGATCTAGGTCCTACGTCTCTGTTTTATTGTCACGTTTGTATCACATGTGATATGGGTGTTCTTACGTTTTCATATAAAGGTGGTATTCTCGTTTGAGCTCACCCCTATATATGTGTCTGTGTATGTGTGATAATAAGTATGCACACAGACAGTTTTCAGGTCAATTTGTGCACACAGGGATTGCTCATAATAGGATTTGTGCAACTGCGGCACATTCCGCTTTCTCATAGATAGGAGACAACAATAAAGGTATCGCTGAACCCAACAAATGTACCGAAACGACAAACTAACAAAATTGTGCAAAGGTTACTTAAGCATGATAAAACCAGTTGGTTCATTTAATTTGGGCAAGTGATGAAGTGTAATCACATTTTAACTTCATTCTTTTGTATCAAATACTTGCCAGATGCGAATGAATCGCAGGCAATATGATGTCTGGGAATATATGAAATACTCTTAGAGTGTTGGATACTTGTGGATATGGATATATGAGGATATCCACATTTGCATCTGTTTACAAAAATGTGGACAAAGATAATATATGTTCTGATTAAATAGCAGACATTGTGACCAAATATTGATTCACGCATATTATCAAATTCTTGGATATTCCACTTACAACTAAATTGTTTGTCCATCCACATCACAATTCACGTGGGGCTTAAAATTGGTTCAAATTTTTGTGCAAGTTAGCACAATGAATGTTCTAGGAGTATTGCATCTGTAGGAATGCTGCAGGGCATGAAAATTACAAGGAAAGAGAATGTAGTAATATGTCACATATCAACAAAGCATATAGAAATAATTCAAAAGCAACACCAAACATCTAGCACCAAAATATACTAGTGTATCTAGAAAAGTATGCACTAAGCTTCTTCTTTCCTGTCGATGTTTGCCTTCTTTGCCTCTATGTCATCAACCATCTCAATATTCCAATTCTCGATCTCTTTCTCCTGACCATTATTTGGTCCAGTATAGTTCTGCACTTTATACTGGTGTTTTGATGCTAAAACAAGAAAAGCCAAAAAGTTTATTGCTCCCAGAATCGCAAGCAACCAATAGAATTTCTCCAACCTGCCTTTGTTCAAGTTATTTCTAAGCCAGCTCCCATTGGTTGCCATGTCTGTCAACGACACTAGTACGCTGCTCATAAAGTACCCCATAGCTAGAGTACTTAGGAATAGCCCTGTGCTCATGGACTTCATCCTCTCTGGTGCTTCTCTAATAAAAAATTCAAGCTGGCCAACATAAGCAAAAGCTTCACCAGCACCGACCAAGAAAAATTGAGGGACTAGCCAGAAAGCTGAAATTTCAGTCATTTGATTGTGATGCATGTCCCTTCTTCTCTTCTCAACGATAGCAGAAGCAATCATCCCTACCACAGAGAGGACAAGGCCAATTCCAACTCGTTGAAGACTTCTGAGTCCTTTTGGATCATGGGTGATCTTACGAGCAATGCGAACAATTACCCTTTCATTAAGGGAGGTAAACAGGAGAATTGATATGAAGAGGAAAACGGAGAAAGAGCCTGCAGGTATACTAAAGCCAGCAACCTTTCGGTTCATGAGAGTGGCTTGCTCAATAGTGAACGTGTTCATTTGAGAGTAAACTGTCCAGAAGAGGATACATGTGGACCATATAGGGATGAGACTTACAACCATTTTCACTTCTTCAACTTGTGTTACAGTTGAAACTATCCATGGATTGCTTCTGTTTTCGTCTGAAGCTGCATAATCATTTAGTATTGCAGCCTTGTCAAGACGCCTGTATCACAAATTGTATAGGAGAAAATGAAAATCAGTTGGTTTCCATGAAATAGTATTACAACATCTAGGTAGTAGTATGCCACATCAGGTTCTCTGTTTTTTGCTTTTCTAGGAAACTGCCTAAAATGTGTATTATGATAGGTAGTGCAGGGTTTTCTTGTGAATGTCATTGCAACTTCAATTGGATTTCATATTTCTTCCGTTTCATTCATTTGTCCCCCAATTTGTGATAAAGGGTGATTGCATAAATGAGTTGGAGGGTATGGAAACGCCAGCCTTTTACCATCTTCTCTTATTTATACATTTATAAATGTGTACATATCTACATGTGCATGTTCTCTAAATCCCTTTTAAGATTATAGTAGAACTTCTGCAAATGGCTTGTGATGTGTTGATAGATGAAGCAGATTCAAGAGACAACTGTCTGGGGATCTTTCGCCTGATTATTATTGCTTCGTCTAATTGCATTTCCATTACTTGAGTCATATTAGTTCTATGGAAGTACCAGCCGCTTGACATTGGTAATATATGTGTGCTTCCATAAAAAGTTGCGTAAATTGCACATGCTTATATATATAGAATGTGTATAAACACATAACAGGAAAAGTAGTATAGTTAGGATGCAATATATACCTGAGTTTCTTTGTGTGTGGAACTTTTGAGTTGTTATAGTCGTTCAGGAGGGCAGGGTTCTCAGGGTGAGGGAGACTTCTGTTTTTTATGGCCAAAAACACCACCCTCCATATGACGGTTAGTGGGCTCCCTTGGGGTTTCTTGAATCGATACAGAGCTGTCCCGCATAGCAGCACAAGGACAGCTATAATCATAGTCCCTGCCGATATTCCGTACCCCCATCCTCTTCCCACATTGTCTTGTATATACACCAATACTGTTACTGCAAAAAGAGAGCCAAGACTGATGCAGAAGTAGAACCTATTGAAGAAGTAGACCATTGCCTTCTCCTCTTTAGGGTCTGAAATGTCAAATTGGTCGGACCCAAATCCTGAAACGTTTGACTTTATGCCGCCACCACCTAATGCTATGGTGTAAAGAGCTGCGTAAAGCAGTGCTAGTTGACCTCCACTGGCTTCTATGCATTGTTGTTTCCTGGGGTTCTCACAATGAGGAGGCTTCATGCTAGGAATGGTTGTTGCCAGTGTCAATAGTGTCACCCCCTGTTTCAGCAATTAAAAACTTAGAGTCAGTTTTTACCTAGTGTCAGTAGTGTCATCCCCTGTTTCACCAATTTAAAACATAAGGGCTGTTTATTATCTGCTGACTGTCTCTTCCTGGGTAAGAGGTGTTTACCTGGTAAGAAGTGTTGCTGTTTGCCAACACACACTGTCAGTCTGACACACAAACTTGCTGACTGAGATCCTGACCCAGTAAGGAAGGGGTTGCTTTCTTATTTGGTCAAGGGTTCAGTCAGCGCTTATCCAGTCACTGGGTAAACAACCATTTACGGATACTTCCAATTATTAGTTTCTTTTACTTTTTAATAAGGCACAAGCGAAGAAAAAAGAGATGGCTATCACAGGAGTAGGGAAAAATGTGGAATCCCCTTTTTCAACCTAAATTTAGGCAAAATAGTTTCTTTTTAAATTTTTTATTGTACTTCTAATAGTTGCATTTAACTTTTACTGAAATTGAGTTAGATGGGTAAAAAGGAATGAACCACAAATGATGGGATGCTTACCAGAGCACATATAGATGCAAATATAGCAATGGTCAAGTATCGGCCAAGTTTAGCATCTGCCAAGAATCCTCCAAAAAGGGCTAAAATATTGAGAGCTCCCATGAAATTTGTCACCGTGTTTGCAGATTTTGATGAGGAAAGATGCAAGTCTCCAACCAGGTATGTCACCAAATTCATTGATATCCCCATCACACATATTCTTTCCGAAAGCTCAGTTCCTACATCGACAGAATAGTGAGTAAACACAAAAATGACGTCTTAAAACCACCTAGTTCTAGTTACAACAGTTCTCCATACATCAATTGCTGCTCCAGCTGGTATCTAGTTATATTATATAGCGAAACATAATATGATCCAAACCACACCCAACATATCTCACACAGAGGTAGGGTCTCGGGCTTAAGATGTAAGCAAACATTTGGGGTAGAGAGACTGTTTCCGTGAAAACCCCCAGCTGCAATATGGTACAATAGTGACATAACAGGTAAAATCATTGCCAAGTGTCTTTGGTGTGTCTTACAGTTTGTGGTTTTAAGTGTAACTAAAAACAAACATTCATAAGTACCTAAAATGAGTCCGGCCGCCAGCCAGCCACCTGTTTTAGAGTTATCCACAGGGTTTCCTCGGAAATCCACGGCTGTATCATCTTTGTCAGCATGAGAAACCGCCAGAACCTGGTAAAAGATTTAGCATCAAAACATATGAATGATATGAAGATGATATATAAAGCTTGATAATTAGAGGAAGTTGTTGAAGAGAAGGGTTACCATTTTAGGAGTGTGTGGGTTGAGAGAGATGGTAATGAGATGTTGAAGATATAGAGGAAATTTGTAGGATAAAAGGAGAAGTGGAAGGTACAGTAAAAGAAGGTTGGGGGAAAAGTAGTATATATGATAAGATTTTTAGGAAAAGAAGTCTCCCAAATCTTTGGGTATACCACTTTAGCTGTTCTCAGGTGGAGAATCCTGCTTCAAGTTCTCTAAATCTCAATAACATCAAGAAACACAAATTTAGAAAAAAAAACTTCTCCTGAAATGTGTTAACATAATACAGGGTTTCGTGTTCATTTCTCTTGGTGGGTATTTAACGTTTTAATTTGATTCATTAGCACACGGTCTCTATAGTTAGCTGACTCGACCTTACGTGAATTAAGTGGTGATGATTTGTGTTCAGTAACGGGTCGGATTTGTATTGATTGCTAGTTTGTCATGTTCCTTTATGTGGTTTATCTTGAAAAACTTCCTTGTGGTGCCACTGATTACACCTAATCAGCAGTGGTCCTTTGTTGGTCCCTTGTTACAATCACAAAGTTGGATCCAATCTCTGACTGGGTCCACCCAACCAACACAACACTACACCTTTTCTTGATTTAACATTTTGCAGATTGATTGTGTACACAATAATCTGATTTCAAATCATGCTTTTTATGTGGGCATTGTCGTCTTTTCATGCTGCCCATGTCTAACTATATTTGCCACATAACCCATAGTTGGTTTTCGGGTTGGGATACTCGTATAAAGTATAAACAAATAAGGGTTTGAGTCTAACAGTTGCATTTTATTCAGGGATTGAGTTTCTTGTGAGCATTGGACTCTTAAACTATAGCCATCGAGTGACCCGTTATGTACCTAATGTTATGTCTCCTCTTTGGTTTTGGGGAAAAAATAGGAACCGTAATCAATGTATTCATCGGTTCCCTCTCTCCGCCCGCGTTTTTGGGGGGGGGGGGGGAGGGTAATGGTATGGTATGCAAATTCATTAGGTTTCTAGTCATTGATATGTATCGTTTTGTGCATCCATACATCGACTAGGACGATTGATAGTCAATGTTGGTTCACGCCCATCGAATCGTGCTACTTGATGACATATATGCTTTATAGTCCCGATGGGTAATTACTTGGTGAATTCTACTGGTGGTAGGGTCTAGGAATGATAAGATGCATGCATATCTTATTTCGAAATGAGAGTCGAATATGGGAGGTTAAAAAATAGGATTTTGTGATGATGATGATATATATATATATATATATATATATATATATATATATCTCATAGCACCACATATATAATCCTACAATCAAGACGAAATATGTGATGATGTTGATGCTAATTTGCATACATAAATTTGTGGTTCTTAAGAGTTTTCTTTTATTTTTAATTTTTTAACACCCATAAAAAGGTTTCGTGGACATGTATTTCACATGGTTTATATCCGAACCTCATATATTTCGTATATTTGTCTTCCAAAATACATTTGTTCTTATATATATAGATTTTGTTTCAAATGCAACCAATCTCATTTATATAATCAATGCAATTCAATAAATTGAAATATTTATAGAAATGATGAGAGATCATTTATTATGATTTAAATATTTATGGAAGATGAATAAAGTTTATTAATTATAATCAATACTTTATATTAGGAAACAATCAAAAATTCTATGAAATTACATATTCATCAAATTAAATGGACGGTTGAGATTGAGTTGTATTGGTTGTACAAATGTAAGAGGTTCTATAATAAGTCACCCCTTTTTCTCTCTTTATATATATATATATATATATAATATTATAATTTTATTTATCCGTAGTAAAAGCTATAATACATTGCTAGATAATTATATTTTATTTTTAAAAATCAATTATTTTGAATCAACATTTTACGTGCTTTTGAAAATTCGATTATTTTAGTTACAACTAAATAGAAGATTAAAATAACAATTTTGTCAAGTGGTGCAAAATTTATTTATTATGAATTTAAGCTATAGTAATCATTTTTGGAGCAAATCTAAACATTGTTACTTAAGGGTCGTTTACCAAACGCTTATTCAGATAAGTGCTTACCAAGTCATATTGCCTTACCGGATGAATATGGAAAGTAACAAGAATTTTACCCGATAAGAGCGAAGAGAAAAACCGAGAGTTTACCCGGTAAGTAAAAGCGGCGACTCTTACCATGGTTAACATTTACCCGGAAAATTGTTGCATACGATGCCGTTTTGGTGCACTAAAATTTTTACCCGGTAAGTAAGTGATAATGTTAAATTTTATCTATAAACGCTCACTAAGTAAGTGTTTGGTAAATGGCCCCTTAGAGTATCTTTAACATATTCGAAAAATGTGGAGATTTTTAAAAAGTTTAATCCTACAGTTGCATTGAACTCTTATTTAAAATAGAGAAAAGAAAACCACAAGGGTGGTGTCTGATTGGTTTGAGTTTGACTCCAAAGGTCAAAAGTATCTGGAGGTCTCAGGTTCAAATCCAAGAAGGAATAAAGATCTCATTGTGGCCACGAAGGTTCAAATGCGGTGACTCCGGGCTATTTGCAAAGCAGGTGGTCGCCCTGGGATTATTCGGCTTGCATAGCGGATTGGATATCCAGATTAATAAAAAAATAGAGAAAAAAAGTAGAGTAGAGAGAAAAGAAAAATTCCTAAACTTTTTAAAAAAATATAACATATCTGTTGAAAATATTGATACTGATTTAAAGTTATGTTTTTATATTAGTTTTGACTTCAAACCTCATTAAAAAAAATCATATTGTATATTAATTGATTCTTGTTTGGTTAAGGCATATGTTCTTTTTGTATGAGTGGGTGTGATTTCATACTTGTTTTTATCATTATTTTCAATCAATATTCAATATAAAATACTACTAACTATCTAAATTAAAACGATAAGGGTGGTGCCTGATTGGTTTGAGTTTGACTTCAAAGGTCAAAAGAATAAAGAGGTCTCAGTTTCAAATTCAAGAAGAAATAAAAATCCCATTGTGACCACGAAGGTTCAAATGTGGTGACTCCGGACTATCTGCAAAGCAGGTGATCGCCTTCAGATTAGACGGCTCGCATAGCGGGTTGGATATCAAGGTTAATAATAATAATAAAAAAAAAAACTATCTAAATTAGACCGTTTGGTTTAAGGGAATGAAATATATTTGGAGGGATTTGGATTTCAAATCCATTCCAATCCATGTTTGGTTTGCAAGATTGTTCGGATTTGAAATTCCTCAAACATAGGATTTTGAAATCCCATGGGGTGGTTGAGATTTTACGAGGTTTCGTAAGATTTCTATATAATAATGTCTTAAAATATGTTTAAAACACTTGTTTTTTTTAATAATTTATTAATAAAAAGATATTTCAATTATTTTTATAAATTATTTATAAAATTGGAATTCCGTTTCATTCCAAATCCAGTATACCAAAGATTACAAATCCTTCCATAAAATCCAAATCGTTCAATAAAAAGAACAAAATGCATCGAGATGCTCATATAAGTCACGATCACATTTAATTCAAAATCGTTCATCATTAGGAATTCAATTAACTTATCTTCTTTATTTTTTCAAATAAAAACTCGGTATCCCATCGGACCCAGAAATGATATGTTGGAAGACCCGTCGTATAAGTCACAATCACATTTAATTCAATTTTTGATATTAAATAGCAATAAATTATTCTATATAACCATAAGGGTGGTGTTCGATTGATTTGAGTTTGTACTCCAAAAATCAAAAGTGTCTGAAGGTCCCATGTTCAAATCTAAGAAGTAATAAAAATCCCTTGTGACTACAGAGGTTCAAATGCACAAGATGGTCGTCCTGGGATTAATCGACTCGTATAGCGGGTTAGATATCCAAATTAATAAAAAAATAAATAAATGATTTTATGAACGTGAAAAATGAATAGTAATAAATGATTTTTAAATATTATGAAAACTAAAAATTAAAAAAGGAATAATTAAAAAAGAAAGAGAAATAATTTTCGAAAGTGGGATGATGACTAATCTGCTTTTCAGATCTTTTCAATCGACCAAAAAAACCAATAATTGTGATTCTATGACCAACTCCATATTATTAACAAAATAAAATTAAAAAATAAATCAAAATTATCCTACTAATTCGTATCGTATCGTATCGTATCATATCAACCGTAATACAGAGTCGTAAATCGATGATACCAAATTCCATAGCGAAGGTTCGTGGGTCAACAATCTCGACAAATTCCGAGAATCCAGTATCGTATCACTGAAAAAAAATGAGATTAACAATTAAAACTGCATCAGGTATTGGTTCTGGATGACATACGTCGATGATAAATCAATAAATATTTTTCAAGAATAAAAAAAAGACTAAACGTGTTACATGGATTTTGTTAAACGATGCTTTGTATTTATAGTGCATGATAAGTGTACCGTTTTCGACCATAGTATTAGGAACGTGTTACTACACGTGTCAAGACTCAAAAGCTTGATATTTTGCATGGTGGGCAACGAAACGAAGACCTGCTCAGTCTTCGGGTAACTGTACTGACCTAGCCCATCGCTTAATTTGTCCTTTATGGTTCAATCTGTCTCAGGTTATCATTACAAACTATAATCATGAGGGATAACTGAAAGAATAGTTTTAAATTTTTTATTCAAATAAAAACTGTTATTAACCTGGATATCCAACTTGCTATGCGAGCCGACTAATCACATGCCGACCACCCGCTTCGCGGGTATCCCAAAGTCACCGCATTTGAACCTCGGTGGCCACAGTGGGATTCTTATTCCTCCTTGGATTCAAACCTGGGACCCCCAAACACTTTTGACCTTTGGAGCCTAAGCTCAAACCAATCGGGCACCACCCTTGTGGTTTCCTATATTTTATTCACAATCATAAATCAAATTAGAAGTTGTAAGAATGACTTTTTTGATATGTTCAATCCATATTTTTTAAAGTATGTAATAATTTAAATATAACAAATGTAACAAATAAACTCACATACTCTCATCACCTTTGGTGAGGTTTGAGTCTCTGACCTCCTAGGAGGCCAAAGACTACGATACCGATAGTACAAAGACCCTTTGGTCTGTTCAATCCATTTTTTGTGTTGCTAAAAATTTCAGTTTTACACGTTAGACTTGTTTTCTTCTTAAATGTAAGGTATAACTCAAATCAACACAGATATATTTAAATCAGATATTTCTTGATTGTTGTTTTTTGTTAAATTAAAGATCGACCTACTATTCTTGTTGGTCAACTAAGAACAGGTTGCACAACTTTCGAAGGATTTAAATACGAAACAATGCAATTTAGAGAATGATTTGGTAAGCACCGTTCCCTTTTCATAAACGCATGGTCCTGAAATCGACTCAAATTCGATACTTTTTTAACGTATGGTCACGTAAATAAAGAAGGTATAAAAAGGTGGTCATATCACATTCATGTCTAATTGTAAAGCATTTGTCTTTTTACTGCTTTTGGACATCTTGAAAATGTCCGGATTCCGATCAAGTTGAACTCAAATGAAAACGACAACATGTCGTGGATAAGCTTGTAAAACAAGTATGACTAGATGTCGAGCCTATGCATGGGTAAGTGTCGTATTTTTGTTAAAGTTACGGAAGACATATCAATGAATTTCTGGTTTTGATGAAAATGATGCATGAGACGTTGTGTCGAAGTTACGTGTGATTTATT